GACTGCTCATGCCATATGTGAAAAAAAAAAAAAAAAAAAAAAAAAGGAAGAAAGAAACAACGGTTCTTACAGTTCAAAGCCCTGGGTGGTTTCTGAGATACTTTAATTTCTACAGTAGCGGACGCCCGTGGAGCCCCTGGGTCATCTTACCCAATATGTACCATAGACCCAGTGCCAAAGTGCTCACCGTCTATAGAGGCCCATACACGTTTTCCTTTTTTCACCAGAACAAGCAATGACTACAATCCACCGTGAAGTATGTCTATTTTTCTACCTGCGCAGGTGTCCAACAGAATTTCGAATATGTGGTTTAGAGAAGCCCATGAAAGCCGAAGTGCCCAGGGCTGCAGATGGCCCACTGTGTGCCAGGCGGTACCGCACTGAAGTTCGCCTGTTTAGTCCTGGCAGTAACCTGTGCCGTAGGAGCTGCTGCTTCTCCCGTTGTGAGGAAGAGGGACACTGCGCTGAGAAGTGCTCTTGCAAATAAAGGTCCCTGGGAACTGCCACTGCTGCCATGCCCTCCCATCCCCGGCCAGCCAAACCACCCTTCAAATTCTCCCAGCCCAGGATGACCCAGCCAAATCCCAGAGCCTCAGGTGGCTTCACGGGGGCTGAAGAAGAAGGGACTGAAGCCCAGGCATGGTGGCTTTAGTTCCATGTGTAGTTTCCATCATGCAGCCCCAGGTAGCTGGTCAGACTCCTGTGGGGCCTGGTCTGCTGTGGCCTGTCCTCTCCATCCTTCTCCAGGGATGGCCGCACTTCTGGGTCCTCCTCCCCATCCCTTTCTCTGGTGGATTTGGGAGCCTGGGCAGGCTTCTCCAGGAGTTCCCAGGATGCCTGTAGCCCTGCTCTCCAGTCTCTGTACCAGTCACTGGCACCTGCTCTGGACGGGCCCTGCCAGGACCTCCTTGTCCTTTACTGAAGGTAATTCCGAGGGCCTCGGAGCAGCGTGTAGGGCACAGGAAACCCCGTCCTCCAGGTGTTTTAGGATTATCCAGTGCTGAGAGGCCAGCACCCTTGTGAGAGGGGACCCAAAAGGAAGGCACGGGGCATGGCACTGACAGACAAGAGCCTGACTGAGCTGCAGAACACACGGCCACGGGGCGTCTTGAGGAACAGAGAAAGGCATGACTGAGACGGAGTTTGCAAGAAGCACCTGCCCCTGTAAACACAGGCAGTCACTGTCAGGAGCTGAGTATGCCCACGCCCCCACCCCCACCCCAATCCACATATTGACTGACGTCGTAACCCACTGCACCACTGAGCGTAACTATTTGGAGCAAAGTCTTTAAAAAGAGAGCTAAGCTAAACTAAAATCTTCGGGGGTAGGCTCTAAGCCAGCATGACTGTAAGAAGAAATGAGGACACTGAGACCAGCAGGTAGTATAATGGCTATGTTGCTGAACTCCCATGTAGCCAACCCCGGTTCGAATCCCGGACCCGGTGGCTTAAACTCACATCGGGCACGTGTGTGTGTGTGCCCAAGGTCCCGAGAGGAGAATGGAGGAGAAAGGATTGCAGCGTGGCCATCCCCCCTGGGGGGTGATTTCTTGCTTTCTGTCTCTCTCTGTCTTTCTGGCAAGCACACGCGCCCTATAGCAAAAACCTCTCAAAATAAATAAATGAAGAAGAAGAAGAAGAAGAAGAAGAAGAAGAAGAAGGAGAAGGAGAAGGAGAAGGAGAAGGAGAAGGAGAAGGAGAAGGAGAAGAAGAAGAAGAAGAAATGCGTACACTGATGAGAAGACCAGGTGAGCACATGGGAGAGGTGGCCATTTGCAGGCCACAGAGACAAGTCGTAGGATGAACCCAGCCCTCCTGGTGCCTTGGTCTTGAACCTCCAGCCTCCAGAGCTGTGAGCAAAAACATTCCAGTCATTCTGTTCTGGCAGCTTGAGTTGACTAACACACACACACACACACACACACTCGGTAACAGGAAAAGTAGGAATCGTAGTTCCAAACGAAGTTAGAATCAGGTTGAAGTATTTTCCGAGCCTTCTCCTTGCTGGATAAGCCATCCCATTTTCGTGTCCTTCAGTTTCTTCATCTGCTTATAACAATACTTACCTTTGTTGGTTTGCTTTGAGGATGACACGAGATAATGTATTTGCAAGTGCTGGGTGAACTCTCAAACACTGTACAAACGGTTCTTATTATGAACGCGATTATAGTTTGCGCTGAATGATTCAATGCTTTGAAGCCATTTTGTATTTTTTACTAATTGCTTTGCAGATTAGGCTTCTCTTGCCTGCAAGAGTGCCTCTTCCTTGGGGATGAAGGTCTCCGTGGCCCCTCTGGCACTGACACAGCTCTGGGCTCAGGTTGGAAGCCGTCCCGGCCCAGCATGTGTGCCCGGCCCCTGGCTCTGCTCGGGTCCTATGAGGGCCGAGTGCACAGACCAGTCAGCGGGGATTCTGCCGGCCAGCTAACACGCCTTGTTAATGTGCAACAATGAGAACGGTGATGGAATGAGCCCCTCTGTGAGCCTAATGGTGTGCTGAGCCCTTTGTAAAGCCTTTTCCACGTAAAGAATGTGTGAGCAAGTTCAGTTAGGATCCCCATTTTAGAGAAGAGGAAGTGAAGCTCAGAGATGTTAGGTAACCTGCCCAAGGCCCCGCAGCCTGACTGGTGGAGGAGGGATGTGAGACTGAGTGTAGGATCTGCGAGCTTCTCCACTGTGCTGGCTCATGAGCTTCGCTGCTGTGCTGGACCGTGTACCTGGAGAGGTTCTTTGGGCCTGGTGGCTTCTAAGTTCCCTGCAAATCCAGGGTGTGGTGTTTGGAGTTTGGATGGGGAGAAGATGGTGTCTCAGGGTGGAGGAAAGTTCCCATCATTAGAAGGGCCAGATGCTCTGGGGCGGGGTCATGGAGCCAGACACTTGAGGGTGGGAAGCCTCCCTCTGGCTCAGGTTCCCATGCAGAGCTGGGTTTCTCGCTGTGAGGATGGGCTGGAGCAGGTGCCTGCACGATGGAGTGGGAGTCATTGTGGGAAGTCAGAGTGGTTCATGGGGCTTCCGGCTGCTGCCGAGGCCCAGGTGCGGGGTCCCCTGGGAAAGACCCAGGTTGACTGAAGATATGCAGGGCTAGGAGACTTCACTGAGTTTTTCTCAGCTGTGTCCCTAGATAAACATGGGAATGGCTGGGCCTTCAGCCTCCTGAAAAAGGACACTCCAAACAGAGATTCTTGCCTTTTCCCAAGGAAGTGTCTTCCTTCCCAGACCCACCCTTTCTGACTCCACTCCTCAGTCCTCCTGTCTTCATCTTGGGGCCTCCCTGGTGCCAGGGCCAGAGCGGGGACTTCCTATCTTGTACTGCCTGGTGTTGGGTACCCAGGGAGAAACAGGAAGTAGGGAATGATGTGGCTGACTGACAGGTGG